GGAACAAGCATTGTGACTGGTTTATCCTTCCACTCCTCCTAATCTGGTTTTCTACATCATAAGCAGAACTGTGAAGAATACAAAATTCTGATGACTCCAATTGATGACTATGATTTTTTATTTTCACTAGGTGATATTAAAGTGCTTTTACGACTCTGATTGTGACCCCGACTTTGTCACGAGTGAAAACCAGCCGAAAACAACGATTTAGTCGGATTGCACTCAGGTGCCTCTCTGGCCCAATTTCCTTCCTTTATGAGGTTGGAAGGTTTATGTTCGTCTACATATGTTGGTATACACTTTATTATGATACACAGTTTACAGATATACTTCATTAATTTTAGGCTAACTTGTGTAGAAATGAATAAATGTTTGAAAGTTTTGATTTCACTATTTGCCGATAATTAAGGGAAGAAAAAGAGACCCATGAAATACTGAAATGGCCCGACTTGGAGCTGAATCGGCTACTTTTTGAGGGGTAGTTTGCAAGAGGGCCGAAATTTGAGGGGGCTGTTTGGCCACTTGAAAATCAAAAGTAGCACTAATGTTTTCGCCTGGTCTAATTTGGATCCGATGTATCAATATAGTCCCAAAAACTGTTACCAAAACAGCCTCATTTCAGTGAGGCTGAATCAGGGCCCCTAAAACAGTACCATCCTGGATTCACCCGTTTTACCCGTAAATTACCTATTTTCATTTCACTGTGTTGTACTCGTGAATCTTTTAGAGCAATCGAGTCACCCTACTATAAACGGGAAAACCTTTTTTTATTAAAATCAAATTGATTTTTATTGTCTTCACAACATGGAATGTGAAAAAAGGCCAGTATAAGGGTAAAATACCTAAAGGGGCTTGTAACATCTGGCGGCAGAGAACTAAATGTGTTGTCCTTGTCTTTCAATAAATCGATACATGGAAATTAGTCTGAATCAAGAGCTCCAGTTACTGATGCTTTGAATCTCTCATGCATCTCGGCTTCCCTTCTCCTCACCAATTTTTTTTTTTCATCCTTCCTCTCTATGGATTGAATTTTAGACGCGTAAGGAGGCTCCTCGCAAGCCCCAGCAAAACAAATTCCAGTAGGTCGACACTGTCCTGCAAAAAAATAAAACATAAAAGCTAATGAATCTTCTTATGTTGCAATATATAATAAAATTAAAAATTTGTGATGGTACCGGTACGTCGCGAGGGTCGGGTAGAAACTAGAGAAACAACGCAAAGAGTTTTACTTTAATTCTGTGCACCTTGCAGAGGTAGATCGACGCGGTCTCACTATGATTCTTTTTTTATGGCAACAAATCCAACCGCATTGTGGTGTCGCGCTCCCGTCGAGGGCAATCAAATATATCCTATTCTTGAGCTACAAACTCCAACCTTATCTAGATTACTGTATCCAGTTAGGGAAGGTACGTTTTTAATTGGGAGAGAGGACTGGGCTTCAGAGGGGAGGGTCAGCCAAAAAAAAAAAATGGACCTTTGGGGATGGTCGAACCATAATTTAAAAACGGTATTAAGGGAGAGTGAAGCCTTTTTTTCATAGTGGTTTGAGTACATGTGTTCATGCAGTTACCATATTGAAATCATTTTTTCGAATTTTAAAGCTTCGTACCAGTCCTTCTTATCGAACGGGAACTTGTAATCTCTCAAGATTCCTTTCAAACAGCAGTTTTGTTACAGTTCATTCATCATATTCATTCACCCTTTCTGTCTTTCTTTTATCACCTTGTTCTGGCTCGGCACGTAAATGTCTCAGACGACCCGTGTTCTCTTCCGGCCATAACTTGACGTTCAGTGATGTGACCACTGTATGCAATCACAGGGCTGTGACTTATATCGCTCAATTCTTTTGATGGTGTTGACGATCACCGGTTGTTTCAGAGCCTACAATCCTTTCCTCTTCATTACTTTTTGAACAAGAAGATGAAGTTTTTTCACGAAGGGGAGTCTCTTTCTCCTAGCCTGATAAGAACCTGTTGTCGTTAAGTGCTTACATAAAGCCACTTTCCCTGGCTTTTTCCAATCAAGTACAAATGAAGTTGAACATTCTATTCATTTGAGCTCGGGGTTAAAATTTAGATAGATGTTGCTCACACTGATAGTGATAGATAATAGGAATGAGGAAGCTGGTCACTGTCAGAGAAGGGTCGTAGTTGCCGATTGTGGTGAACCAGTACACATGCAGTGGAAGCTCAGGAATGGGGTAGGGTCACGTGTTTACCAGAAAAAGGATGAAAAATACCCCCAACCCCCCCAATTAAAAAAAAAAAACTGAACAAACCTTCCCTTACTTATTATGTACTTTTTTACTGTAAGATGTATAATATTGCGGATTCAGTTACCCGAAGTAAATCATTGCACTGTTCCATATGCCGAAATGCTCAATGTCCAATTACCAATGCTTAACTTACCAAAGCAAACTTTTTTGATTTAGCTGTAGACGTATTGACATAGTTGGTACGCGAGCGTGCAAAATCCTGTTTTCTGATCGTAAGGCTACCATGGGGCACACACCAACGGAAGGTTTCCTCCCAAATGCACACTTTCTAGGCTACCAAGAGGAGCGCTGGTAGAAATGCGCTCTAAGCGGCGCTATAACATTTGTACCTGTTCGGTCATCCTAAGGCAACTTGAGTCATTTTGAAAGTATAACTAAGGGCTTCAGTATCATTTTCCTGAAATGTTAAGATGCAATTTAAAGTGTTACGATCGTAAGACATTTTCTAATGCTCGCTCCATCGCACTTCCCGAGTCTGAAAATGTTAGGTTTTCTTTTTCTACGAAAATTAGTTTAACCCGTGGACGGAATTAAGAACAATTACACTTTAGAAAATAGTAGGGAATTTATTAGATAAGCTTCGAATAATGTACATGAATAGATTGGTCATCAAGCTATATAGGAAGTTCTGAACACTATTTGCGGCTATCCGAACATGTATTTTACAGGAAATGTTCGTTGGGTGCCCCCCGTACAACGGTTTATCGAAATCAGTAGTTGGTTGTCCCTGAATTCTTCTTCCAAATCAGGAATGGGCGAAAATAAGACTGAGGCCAACGCGCGATTAATTGTTCTCTTGCTTTTCAAAGACAAAAAAATCCCGGGAGAACCAATGTCATCAATGCCACGTCGGTCTAAAGTCGTCATTAAAGGGTCCGACAGATCATAATAAGGGAAATAAAACTCTTGCTGGTCATTGATCAGCTCGATGATAAACTAATAGCGTTTAAATTCATGTTCATTTGAGTCAGCACTGTATTTTCTTGGCGTTTAGGGAATTTGGTAGTATCTTACAGTCCAATTACTTTCTTATTTCGTACCTTCCAAATCAGTTACACTGAACTAGGGAAACATAAGTGAATCTGAGATTGCGGTAACCTAGGTCTCCCAAGGATTGAAACTACCAGTAGAAAAACCCAACTTTAAATCCCCTGCGTTTCTCAGTACCAAAAGTTCGATTTGTTGGGAGCTCAAAGAAAACAGACGGAAGTAAGGGAAAAAAAACACAGTTTTCACTGTACCGTGAACATTCTAATCTTTTTTAATTGTAACTAAACAGATAAATGAAAATTGAAAGAACTAGTAACAAAACGTGACGAAAACGTAGTCTAAATAGAGCGTGTATTTTACTGTTTTGAGTAGTAAAGCTGTTTCATGTTAGATTTGTGAAAAACAACATCGGCCTCCGCTACTGAGTACATGAAACTATACATGTACCTACAACACGTCGAAGTTCAATGTTTCGGACGCCAATACACTGTTTTTTCCGTAGTTTTCGAGTTATCGAGGGTAGAACTATACAGAAATGATCTGAGGGAAAATAAAAATTAATTCCGGAGGGTGAAATTAAATTCTTTATCTTACTTTTCTGTCATTTTTTTTTAAAGTTATTTTTATTTTTCTGTAAGGTTAAAGATGTCTAAGCAAACCAAAGCTTTAAGGCTTTTGGTACCCCTTAATCTCGTACTGTTATACTTACCGGGGTATTCTTATTATTATTAGTGAACTTAAGCAAAGACGTTTTTGAGCGACGCACGTCAACCGGAAGTGGGTATTTTTCATTTTTGGACAGTGGTTTTACCCATTTTTACGACAACTTGTCTCTATAATAGTTAAGGCACTTAGAAATACAAATTTGGGAGCGTCAAGGTGCTTTAAAATGAAAAAGACCTCACTTCCGGTTGACGTGCGTCGCTCAAAAACGCTGTTGCTTAAGCTCCCTAATATCATTACTTTGTAAGCGAGACACGCGAGAAGAAATGTGCGCGCTCCCCTCGCGCGTGTCTCACACCCCACGGGCGCTATAACAAAAAAATTAATTTGCGAATATTCAGTGGGAGGTATAAAAGGATGCAGTACCGATAACTGGACAATAAAGGGAACACAACTAGAACTAGCAAAACTAAGAAATGTGGAAACTGAAAATACAAAAACGTAAAAATAATAGAGCTGTGGGGTTGGGTAAGAGCTTACGCCTCGTCTCCAGATCTTATTACAAAAGATGACACTCTAGACCATGCGGACGATTACAAGGGACATTCCATATCTCCTTTCTTTGTGGGAGGTAAAGACTTGTGACACATTCACCTCTTTCATTCATTTTCTTCGATCGATACTATAAATTATGAGTGACATAGTGCGTAATTTTATAGTTGGTTTACTAGCTTTGGTTGAAGAAATTAACCGTCTTCTACCGGTTCGTGTGGATTTCGAACAGCTGGTAACAAATATAGCACGTCTCGAAGAAGCAATTGACCGGTTGTGCTGGCTTTTGTCGGCGATCAGCGAAGGTAACATCGGAGGGGTTGCTGCCAACTTTAAAGGCCAACTTGAAGACATGAAGAGGAATTTGGAAGCTTTACAACTGCGGCTTTTCGAGAAGAAAAGGTTGCTCGAATCTGAGACGTATCAATGCCAGAGGGAACAGGGCAATGTCGGGAGACCGAGATTCATAATCTCTCGGGAGCAAATTTTGTATTTTCGCGAGTTTTCTTTTAAGTGGACAGAGATCGCGGATATACTTGGAGTATCTATAAGCACCCTGAACAGGCATCGAGCATCGCTTGGACTCGGTAGTGAGCCAAGATTCACGGCCATTGCAGACGACGACCTCGATGCGCTGGTACGGGAAATAGTGGGGCGATCACCATTTAGTGGAATTCGTATCGTTCAAGGGGAGATGGAGGATAGGGGAGTCCATGTCCAGAGAGAGCGTGTAAGAGCGGCACTACATCGCGTGGATGGCCTAAACGTGCGTGCAAGGCTAAGCCACGTAATACAGAGGAGGCGTTATAAGGTTCCTGGGCCAAATTCACTCTGGCACGTGGACGGGAACCATAAACTAATACGGTGGAAGTTTGTTGTGCACGGAGGAATAGACGGATTTTCCCGCCTTTGCGTTTATCTAGGTTGCGCAACAAACAACCGGGCAGCTACAGTCCGAGACCTATTTTACGCTGCGACTGAAGAATTTGGGTGGCCGTCGCGAGTCCGTTCAGACCACGGCATGGAGAATGTGGAAGTGGCGCGTGCCATGATAACTCGTTGATAACCGATTGAGACTTTATAGTTAATTCATTTAATTTTGACAAGTGTAAAATCTAGGCGTTGAAATCAACGTATTTCAACATAGCAATATTAGTTATTTTAAAACTTATGAAGACTTTGAAGTCAATTAAGTAATCTATTAAGACTTAAAGATTACTTAATTAACATTGTAAATGGTAATCTATTAAGACTTGAAGATTACTTAATTAACATTGTAAATGGTAATCTATTAAGACTTTGAAGTTAACTTATTAAACATTGTAAATGGTAATCTATTAAGACTTTGAAGTTAACTTATTAAACATTGTAAATGGTAATCTATTAAGACTTTGAAGTTAACTTATTAAACATTGTAGATGGTAATCTATTAAGACTTTGAAGTTAACTTATTAAACATTGTAGATGGTAATCTATTAAGACTTTGAAGTTATTTATTAAACATTGCGAACCTTTTTTGATTGACAACTTAACTATATTAACTTTACGTCGTAAACTTATATTTGATTGACAACTTAAGAAGCAGATAAATTTTACGTCGTAAAAGTTACGACGTAAAACCTATTTGATTGACAACTTTAACTATATTAACTTTACGTCGTAACATTATATTTGATTGACAACTTAAGAAGCAGATAAATTTTACGTCGTAAAAGTTACTACGTAAAACCTATTTGATTGACAACTTGACGAATGGATTTATTACAACGTACCTTGCCAACTCATATCCAACTAGCACGCATGGAATAATTGTTATACTAGGGTATCTAAAAGATAGTAATGCTGCGGCACATTCTGTTGATACTGGCATTAGTTAGGCAGTGAGACTTAAAAGAATCAAAAATGACATTGAATGTCCTATTTACATGTTGGAAAGTACTAGAATAGTTACTATCAGTCTATAGAAAGAACTCGTGGGAACGTTGTTTAGAAAATGATCAAGTGGTTATCAACTCTGGTTTTCCCACAGTAAATTGTTGGAAATAATAGAAATTGAGATTGATTATCCATATATTTAATATACAGTGCACGATATTTTCTCTGGAAACACAATACTTTTCTTGCTGTTTGTTGCACTTTATTAAGTAACAGTTATTTAGCTATATATTTATAGAAAACAACAACACAAAAAAAGGAAAAAAAAAGAAAGTAGCAATAAATAATTCGGTAGGACTCGAACCCGGCACCTTCGACACGACGCGACTACACCTTTCCACTACACCACAGAGGCTGATTACGTAATTTACGGGAAAAGTGTTTCGCTTTATTCCTTTTCTATGAAACTTCCGCCGGCAAGATGATCGCCAGCCGCATTAACCGAGCTATTAACAGTGAAAAAACAATGTAAACGCATATTCCATGGCAATGAATGAATGAAAGAACATAATTATGCTTTTCAAAACGCCGATACACGTCCTGGTCTGCAAAGTAGGACACAAAACATATGTTTTGTTATCTCGATTTCCGCTGTTATTTTGAAGCGAATGGTCAAAATCACATCCATTTTCGGCTCATACAGTTTCTTAAGAATAGCTTTGCATGACATTTTCTCACTTTCACATCACCTTCTAGCAAGCTGGAATTTGTATATCCCCCGTGTTGCGGAGTCGAAGAGCAAATGCTCATCTTCTCGTCAGGTTTAACACCTGGACGAGTCAAAAAAGGCTCTTGAATTGAAATCCAATCCCCAAGTTAACCATCGTAATCATCTGAAAGACTCCTGCGTGTCTTAAAATTTGGTAAGACCTCTAACCGTGCTGTAGAACTGAGCAGCGAACGATGCACTACTTCTCCGTGTTTTCATTTGAGTTGTTCGTGGCGCAATGCACTCTGGTTAAATGCAATGCATTGTGGTAAAAAGTGTGGTTAAATGCAATGCATTGTGGTAAAAAGTGATGAATTCGAGAATTCGTCGCCCCTTTATATATTTCCTTTAAATCCTGATTATGTTGCTGCTCGCTCCCTTCGGTCGCTCCGCAGCAAATATCATATGATGCTCTCCAAATATGGTAACTGTGCGCGTCTGCTTAAAATTAAAAACAAGCTGAAAATCGATACGAGATGATTATAGCCAACTCATATCCAACGTGCACTCTTGGAATGACTGTTAACTAACTCAAGAAAAGGTTTATATAACTTATGCAGGTTAATTGTTCTATACCCAACAAATGATTATGTTTCAATATTACGCTTGACATTTTCTGTCTTCATTGATTGACAATGCAACTGGCCCAATTAATACCTACACTCTTTTATAGATGCGACGGGCCGCAATAATTTAATGAGTGCTTGATAGTTCCTAATAGGTTAGTCTTAATAATTTTTCTTGACAACACCTGTTTATCGAGTTCCTGTTCCGAAAAAAACTCATTTTAAAATCCTAATGGATCTCGATTTTCGAATAAATGTCTCCTTTGTAAATGCAACTTGTACCTGGAAAATTACACGTTTCCTAACACATTTTTCATTTTCTTTAGGTATAGAGCAATGGCAAAGGTCAATTAAGTGTGTGTGTGTTCATACACTGTACCATTCTATCTCTTCCTCCCCAAATTTAACTCTCGAATGCCGCCCACGCAGAGTAGCTGCCCTTCAAGTAAACAAGAAACGGCGCCTTATTTAAGTCAAGCGGCGGCTCCTGCTGTTCAAGTCTAATTAAGGAAGAGTATAAAACACTATGTTTCAGCCATTTCTCAAATTTATTCTAAGTCGTGAACACTTGCTTTAATTGTTTCTTTTCTTTTCCTTGATTAGTAAAAAGGAGTTTTTGATAAATGCTACTGGCATAAGTAAGTAAGGCTTATAAGCTGTTATTACAAGACGGCTCTGTTCATTAGTGAACACAGGCGATCGCGAAGTTATAAGTGGTGGCAACTTTATAAGTCGCAATCGTTAGTTTGCATGTTACAAATTTGACTATAATTTTAACAGGCGGATAGAATTATTATTATTATTATTATTATTTTTTATTTTTTTATTTTTTTTTTACTATCATTTTTTTTATTATCATTATTATTATCATCGTTTTTAGTTTTATTTATTTCTTTATTATCTTTTGTAGTCATTTTTAACTTCTTTACTACTTCAAAACATTACAGGCCGGACCAAAACTTGAAATTACAGATACATAACTCCTAAAAAGCACTTTTACCATACGCAGATTTCCTTAAGTTTTTTTTCAAAGATTTCACATAACTTTTTGCTCATAACTAGAAAGAAAAGCAAAGCTGTCCTTAACAATTGGATGCGACTTGACAGTATTATGCAAGAGTATATTTTTTTTAGAAAGAGAGCTAATCCGTTACATGACGTAAATAGTAAAAGCAGCAATTAGATATTCAGTTCAAAAGCATCGTTCTGTGTTGTAGGTTTCCAGCATAACATCATTCTTTTAAGCCCTTCTCGAAATTTTTTACCACGAAATCCATAAATAATAGGGTTTAGACTTAAACTGGACACGAAAAAAAAATCCGCTACGTATAGAAAGTCTTCGGTTCTTTCACTTCCTGTTAATAGAAATGCCCCAAAATACAACAGATATGGCGTGTAACCCACTACAAACCCCGTAGTGGCCAAGGTTAGAGTTATGACAAGTTTCTTTTTCTCTGATCTTGTCTCTCTGTCGGTTTCTGGGTACACTATGCTACTAAAGTAAAGTCCCTTAATCACGCACCCATAGCAGAAAAACATAACCACCATTTGAATAACGATTATGGTGAGACTTATGGCGACATAAATTTTGCTTGCCTCATTCATCTGTTCGGTCCAGGGACCGATACACCCAGAGTATGTCTCGCTCCATTCTTTAAGAAAGAATTCCGGAAAACTTATGATGAGACTTGCGATCCAAATGCAAGCGATTGCCCGCTTGATGTTGTCTTTATTTAACCGCAGTCCTGTTTCGAATGGCTTCAGAATCGCGTGGTATCTTTCCACCGCCAGCACAGTAAGGGTATTGGAGGAAACCATGATGCTGACTTCCGAAAGAGCAACAAACTTGCAAACGAACTTTGCGAATTCGAAGTAGTACACTGGCCACAGCAATATGGTGACGACGTCACTAACAGCCATACTCACCAGAAGATAATTTGTCGGGGTGTGCATTTCTGGTATCTTATGCACAATTCGTATGACGAAAAGATTTCCAATCAATCCAATGACAAGAAACGGGATCCCCGCGTAAAAAGGGACGTTTTCGGTCTGGTTCATACTTCAGGCCCGAAGTTGGTCAATACGACACAGTTTAAGGTTGTGGAACGCTGACAATCTCACTTATACATCAACATGAGCTTATATAACGTTTCCAGTTTCTTTGCGGGTAAATCATGACAGGCATTGATAGACTTTGCAATTAATATTTAAAAGGCTGGTAATTATTTTCATAACAGTGGCGTTGACGTTTGTCGGGAAAATTAGGAATAATCTGTGGAATGGTTAACACAAAAGTTATTATTGAGCGCTCGCTTAAAGATACAATGAATATAATAAGCGGTGACTGCAATTAAAAATTTCATCCTTAAAACAGTGGAAAAGAAGTCTGTTAGCAAAAGCCGGAAAATGGGGATTTTTCACAAAAAACGAATTTGAAAAGGTTTAACCCTTTAAACCCTAAGATGAAAAGATGAATTCTTATTTGTTGCCCCTATTAATTTCCTACAGAAGTTGTGGGAAGAAAATGATAAAATGTCAAGCAAATTCATCTTGGGTGATCATGTCCATAATTCTCATGACCACTCTGTTTTACAAAGCATTGATATTACAAGGAGAAATTTGATGCTGATCACTCTTAGGGCTGAAAGGGTTAAAAGGGGATTGTAGCAGACTATAGTGCTATGGGTTGTTTGTGTTATTTGGGCCCAAAGATCATATAGTGCAACTAAGTCTGCTTTGTTCTGTAATTATATTTATTCACTTTAAAGCGCTAAGGAAACGCACGCATTCTTATAATTTTGAAACAAAGCTGACTTGACACCATTTTTCTTGGCGGAATTTGGTACTGCGGTAACATCTTTCAAAGATTTGGCAAAGTTGACTGCTTTAAAAACTGTCACGCAGTCATGTTCTTTGCCAATTCATACTGTAATGCATTACCACTGCTACCTGTGATTAACCATCTCCACTTCCCAATGACGTCTTTTTGTCAAAGGCTTTTTTCGAATTAATAATAACAAAAAACGTCATGTTGCACTTTCTTAAGGCATGCTAAAATCGGCTCGATACTGTTAATTCAAGAGATTTTTATCACTCTTAAACAACGCAAACAAGGACAAAAAAAAGTACTAATCAATCTTTATGAGTCCCTCAAGCGAGGAATTTACGTATTAGTGAGAAAACTCAAAAACAAATGTTCCTGTTGGTTTCCGGCGGCCATGTTTGGCCATATTTGCGCCGGCCCTGAAAGGGACACAAACATGGCGTCTCCAGACAAAGCTTTATAAATTTGGGTAAAACGTTTTTCTGAATATCTCGATCGCATATGAAATATTGCACAGACCTGATTCTTGGCAAGGCTGTTTGCATATTTATCTTCTTTCATTTTTCAGATTCTAGACTTTCTGTACTAAAAAGTTTCCATTTTTAATTTTGATGACGTGACAGTGAAAACCACCAATTGCGATGGAATTATTACAAATTACGATAGCGTAGTTTATTACAAAGTGCAATGAATAGTTATTACAAACTGCGACAGCTGGTTTATTTCAAAGTGCAACAGACTTAACTACAATTTGTGACGACAGGTATAATTACAAAGTGCGATGATTATGACAGTACACATTAGTTTCCTTATTTTGTAAATGATATACAAATTCATCGATATCTTACTGCTTAACCAACAACGGGCGCTGAGTGTATATCCGCACACTTTGTTTTCAGATCAGTCGAAAGCCAAATTCAAAATGTTCATGAACTGCTAAGGGTTAGCAAAATCAACACAAAAAAAAAATTGAAAAAAAACTTGCTTCAGCTAATACAGTTCTTCTATATACAAATACATGTATTAGAAAGGAGGAAATAGAAGGTTCAAACCTAGTCTTGAATTTAGGAAAAAGTGCATGCCATGCACTATTATTTGACCAAAACATCTGTCTGCAACGAGCGTTTGTAAAAAAAAAATGTCAGTTAGTAATTCTACATCGAAGAAATGGTATCTCAGCAATATACTAACAATTCAAAATATCACTTTTAGCTTCGCCGTGCAACTTCGTCGTGCCTTTGGGGATTTCTACATAAAATTACACTTTTGAACCCCTCTTTAAAATTAGTGCTACGAAAAGCATAGATAAAAGGGTTGAAACATAAACTTACAACGAATATAAAATCAGCCACAGTCGTAAGTTGAGCGTAAAAACTAATGTCTGTGGTTCCATCTCCTGATGGAATGATGACGTAAGAAACTAGAGCTGGTGTATGACCGATAAAGAAAACAATAGTTACCAACAAGAACGTGATAACAAGTTTCGTCTTCTCAGAAATCCTTTCTCCATCTGTGTCTCGACACACTGTGTTGGTGAAATATAGTCCCCTTATCAAGGATCCATAGCAGTATATCATGATCGCCAGTTGAATAAAATATATCACGACATCAAAAATCACACAAGCTTTGCTACCTTGATTCAAGTGTAATGTCCAGGGACCAATACATGTCTCATAAGTCTTGCTCCATTCTTTAAAGAATATGAGTGGGAAGCTTTCGAGGACGCTAGCGCCCCAAATGTAAGCGATCGCCTTCTTAATGTTGTCTTCTCTTAAGAGAAGTCCATTTCTAAAAGGTTTCAGTAAAGCGTGATATCTTTCGACTGCTAGTACAGTTATTGTAATGCAGGAAACCGTTATACAGGCTTGAACGAGCGCAAATAACTTGCAAAAGAATTTCCAATATACAAAGAAATACAACGGCCATAACAAAATGGTGATAACATCACTAACGGCCATGCTCACCAAAAGATAATTTGTCGGCGTGTGCATCTCCCGTGTTTTGTGAACCACTCGTATTACCAACACATTTCCGATGAATCCAGTGACAAGGAGCGGGATGCTTGAATAGAAAAAGGTATATTCCAGGTTATAGATTTCATCCATAATGGCGTCTATTCATAAGGTGGCGTTCTAGCTTTTGTCTTATTTGATGGCGTGTATTTTGAGTTCATTAAGACTGCAATTAGCTTTGGCCAAAGTCTCTTCCGAAATATGGAAAAGTCTAACTCGAATTATCCAACTGATAAGAAAAGGTTTATATAAACTTATGCCGGTAAATTATTCTATACCCAACAAACCTATTTCAATACTCCATTCATTTTCTCTCATCACTGATTGACAACAACCCTTTAGTATGACACCCGGTTATAATTATACATGTAAAATGGTAGGCAGTGCTGGCCGCAATAATAAATTTCATGTTTGTGTGTTAGTTCATAATCGGCTAGTCTTAGTAATTTTTGTTCGATAGCACCTGTTTATCGAGTTCCCGTTGCGAAAACAACTTATTGTAAAATCCAAATGGATCTCGATTTTCTTGAATAAAAGTCTTCTTTGTAAATGAACCTTGCAGCTGGAGAAATACACATTTCCCAACACGCTTTTTTCATTTTCTTTATTCATTCATTCATTCATTCATTTATGTTTGCCATTAACCACGTACGAATACAACAACGAATATGGGTATACCAAGTGAGCTATGAGTACTGAATGAAAAATGGATTATCTTTAAAAGTAAAGAAAGAAAAAGGGAAAAGTATGTAGCTCAACAGAGAGTATATTTGAAGAGCATATTTAAGTCTTTTGCCAAAAAACCTGATACTTTCATTGCTTTGAATTTCACGACTTAGCGAGTTGAAAAACTTAGCACCTTGAAACCGAATTGAGAATTTTTGAAAATTAGTGCGACAATGAGGTATATAAAAAAAGGCTGGAATTTCTTGTTTTATGCGAATGTATCCGGCTTGCAAGAATAAACATATCACGAAAATAATAAGGAAGTAAACCTCTTTTAAAAAGATACATAAATTTTCCTATTTGGTATAAATAAATGTCCGAGAATTCTAAAATTTCCTGCTCTTTGAAAGGAACATCGGTATGAGAATCAAAAGAAACTTTTGATATTTTTCGGATTATCTTGTTTTGCAGAAATAATAATCCGACTTTAAATTAGACTGAATAACGATCCCCACACTGAAACACAATATATTAAGGTGGCTCGACTGGATTTTTTAGGAGGAATACCTCCCAAGTTTAAGCATTAACTACTTCGGCATGAGTAAAGATATGGGAAAAAGGTTACCACAACTGTATTATATAAAGATGGAAATTTCTTACGATCTGGGTTTTATTGCAGTCGGAGTCGCCCTGGATATTTCTAATCAAGAATTATTTTGAATGCGAATTTATTTCTTTTGCTAGTTGTGCACGTGCATATGAAACTTGAAAACAATGCCAGTGAATAATGAGGACGCTAACTTGTCAACTCAAAATCTAAGGGAAAAATTTGTTATATTTGAGGCCCCATTTAAAAGCCTTCCCTGTTTTCAATGTTTTTGAAACTGCCGGTTAAATTTATTGACAGCTGATCTCGCAATTGTCAAGTTTATAAAAAAATTTATCGAGCGGTTTTTTGAATAATGTGAAATTTGTACGCATGGACCAAATTACGTGCAGAACCTGTAACAAAGCAGCTGAATGCAAGTTGATAAAATTCTTCTTACTCGCGATCGCCCAGAGCAATTCGCCTCATTTTTTGATATTACAAGGAGAAATTTGATGCTGATCACTCTTAGGGCTTAAAGGGTTAAAAGGGGATTGTAGCAGACTCTACCCTCTTATAAATACCTGGTACGAAGGGTAAGTGGAGTAAATTGTGCTGTAGGTTGTTTGTGTTATTGGGCCCAAAGATCATAAAGTGCAACTAAGTCTGCTTTGTTCTGTAATTATATTTATTCACTTTAAAGCGCTAAGGAAACGCACGCATTCTTATAATTTTGAAACAAAGCTGACTTGACACCATTTTTCTTGGCGGAATTTGGTACTGCGGTAACATCTTTCAAAGATTTGGCAAACTTGACTGCTTTAAAAACTGTCACGCTGTCATGTTCTTTGTGAATTCATACTGTAATGCATTACCACTGCTACCTATGATTAACCAACTCTACTTCCCAATGTCTTTTTGTCAAAGGCTTTTTTCGAATTAATAATAACAAAAAACGTCATGTTGCACTTTCTAAAGGCATGCTAAAATCGGCTCGATACTGTTAATTCAAGAGATTTTTATCACTCTTAAACAACGCAAACAGGATAATTTTCAATTCTGTATTTTATAATTAATAGTAGGACAAAAAACAGTACTAATTAATCTTTATGAGTCCCTCAAGCGAAGAATTTATGCATTAATGAGAAAACTCAAAAAACAAATGTTCCTGTTGGTTTCCAGCGGCCATGTTTGGCCATATTTGCGCCGGCCCTGAAAGGGACACAAACATGGCGTCTCCAGACAAAGCTTTATAAATTTGGGTCAAACGTTTTTCTGAATATCTCGATCGCATATGAAATATTGCACAGACCTGATTCTTGGCAAGGCTGTTTGCATATTTATCTTCTTTCATTTTTCAGATTCTAGCGACTTTCTGTACTAAAAAGTTTCTATTTTTAATTTTGATGACGTGACAGTGAAAACCATGGCCACCAATTGCGATGGAATTATTAGCATAGTTTATTACAAAGTGCAATGAATAGTTATTACAAACTGCGACAGCTGGTTTATTTCAAAGTGCAACAGACTTAACTACAATTTGTGAAGACAGGTATAATTACAAAGTGCGATGATTATGACAGTACACATTAGTTTCCTTATTTTGTAAATAATATACAAATTCATAGATATCTTACTGCTTAACCAACAACAGGCGCTGAGTGGATATCCGCACACTTTGTTTTCAGATCAGTCGAAGCCAAATTCAAAATGCTCATTAACTGCTAAGGGTTAGCACAATCAACATAAAAAAATTGAAAAAACTTGCTTCAGCTAATACAGTTCTTCTATATACAAATACAGGTATTAGAAAGGAGGAAATAGAAGGTTCAAACCTAGTCTTGAATTTAGGAAAAAGTCCATGCCATGCACTATCATTTGACCAAAACATCTGTCTGCAACGAGCGTTTGTAAAAAGAAAATGTCAGTTAGTGATTCTACATCGAAGAAATGGTATCTCAGCAATATACTAACAATTCAAAATATCACTTTTAGCTTCGCCGTGCAACTTCGTCGTGCCTTTGGGCATTTCTACATAAAATTACACTTTTGAAGCCCTCTTTAAAATTAGTGCTACGAAAAGCATAGATAAAAGGGTTGAAACATAAACTTACAACGAATATAAAATCAGCCACAGTCGTAAGTTGAGCGTAAAAACTAATGTCTGTGGTTCCATCTCCTGATGGAATGATGACGTAAGAAACTAGAGCTGGTGTATGACCGATAAAGAAAACAATAGTTACCAACAAGAACGTGATAACAAGTTTCGTCTTCTCAGAAATCCTTTCTCCATCTGTGTCTCGACACACTGTGTTGGTGAAATATAGTCCCCTTATCAAGGATCCATAGCAGTAAATCATGATCGCCAGTTGAATAAAATATATCACTACATCAAAAATCAGACAAGCTTTGCTACCTTCATTCAAGTGTAATGTCCAGGGACCAATACATGTCTCATAAGTCTTGCTCCATTCTTTAAAGAATATGAGTGGGACGCTTTCGAGGACGCTAGCGCCCCAAATGTAAGCGATGGCCTTCTTAATGTTGTCTTCTCTTAAGAGAAGTCCATTTCTAAAAGGTTTCAGTAAATCGTGATATCTTTCGACTGCTAGTACAGTTATTGTAAAGCAGGAAACCGTCGTTATACAGGCTTGAACGAGCGCAAATAACTTGCAAAAGAATTTCCAATATACAAAGAAATACAACGGCCATAACAAAATGGTGATAACATCACTAACGGCCATGCTCACCAAAAGATAATTTGTTGGCGTGTGCATCTCCCGTGTTTTGTGAACCACTCGTATTACCAACACATTTCCGATGAATCCAGTGACAAGGAGCGGGATGCTTGAATAGAAAAAGGGATATTCCAGGTTATAGATTTCATCCATAATTGCGTCTATTCATAAAGTGGCGTTCTAGCTTTTGTCTTATTTGATGGCATGTATTTTGAGTTCATTAAGACTGCAATTAGCTTTGGCCAAAGTCTCTTCCGAAATATGGAAAAGTCTAACTCGAATTATCCAACTTATACGAAAAGGTTTATATAAACTTATGCCGGTAAATTATTCTATACCCAACAAACCTATTTCAATACTCCATTCATTTTCTCTCATCACTGATTGACAACAACCCTTTAGTATGACACCTGGTTATAATTATAGATGTAAAATGGTAGGCAGTGCTGGCCGCAATAATAAATTTCATGTTTGTGTGTTAGTTCATAATCGGCTTTTTTTGATAGCAACTGTTTATCGAGTTCCCGTTGCGAAAACAACTTATTCTAAAATCCAAATGGATCTCGATTTTCTTGAATAAAAGTCTTCTTTGTAAATGAACCTTGCAGTTGAAGAAATACACATTTGCCAACACGTTTTTTCATTTTCTTTATTCATTTATTCATTCATTTATGTTTGCCATTAACCACGTATGAATACAACAACAATGCCAGTGAATAATGAGGCCGCTAACTTGTCAACTCAAATCTAAGGGAAAAATTGGTTATATTTGAGGCCCCATTTAAGAGCGAATGCACAGAAAAATCGAGCAAACCGTGGCCACAGCCCAAAACCTAACCTACCCTCATTTTCAGTCTGTAATAAGGTTTTAATGAGTTTATAACACTGCTGAGGTTTAAATTTCAAAATGCGGCCGAGTTTGGGAATTATTGAGATTTTCGATTTCAACGGTCTGCGGGCCTAAAATTAGCCGCCGAACACGGGAATATAGCCCAGCGACAGAAATGAGCTGACTTTCATAAACGAGCGAATATATTGGCAATCTTCCACTTAAATTTCGAAAAACAGATATCTAACAATTTTTGAACGGCACATTTTTTAGATTTAGAGAATAAAATATCGACGAACGAGCACAATTTTGAAACGTAATTTGCATAATGCTAAAAATACGACAATTTACCGCTAAAACCAAAATCGAATTTTCTATATGGGGGGAATTCTCCAAATCACCCCAAATCCCGGTTACTACCCAATGAGATATAGTACTTCAGCATCATCTGAAAGTTAGTCTGGTGTTCTTGCCAACGCTTGTAAAATAGATTGATTATTTTGAGGTTATTTTGCCCCAAACAACCGCTAATTGACCCCAGGGTCAATTGACACGTGCACGTCACCTTAGTTTTACGCGTCGATTTGAGCTCGCTAAATGGGAGAAACTAACAAGATTCTTTTTATGTGTACCTGTTTTAATGAAATGCATGCAGTCTTCAAAAGGAGAGGCCGTTCAATGGGTAATTTCTTTTCTTGAGACCTTGTAGATTGTAGCATGGCGTCTGCGAGCGGACCTGAGTCTAGGTCTGTTTTCCCGTGACTGCGAAATCAGAATAACATCATAAAATAATTCTCGCTCGAACCTTCGTAAATGAATCAGCTTTGCAGTGCCTTACCTGAGATAAAAAGTGGGCCGAACAGGAAAACATTCTAGCGCAATTTGGATCCTTTGCAGCACGTAGTGTATTTGCTAAGCGGCGACGGTATCAAAGACTTTTAATTAGTTACTCACCTCCGGTTGCGTGACCAGGCAATTATCGATTGTCTCCTGCGAAAAATAAGTGCACGGGAAACCAAAGCTTTCGGGATACAGTAAATATATTTTCCTGTATGACCAGCTGTCCTTTTGTCCTATTTTAAAAGTGTTTAACTAAGGGACCAGTCATAATTGAAGTTGGAGGGGCGGGGGGGGGGTGGGAGGAGGAGAAATTGGGGGGCCTTCAATTTTTTTTGGTTGGAATATGGGAGGCCTTAAAATACCAAAAGATGACCTTGGTTGGTCTTCAAGTTTCTTTTAAGTAGCATCCCTACTGAGTAGCATGATGCTTGAGTATTAAAGGACCTGTATTGTGTAATACTAAAACAATTTAATCAGCATTTTCACAAAAAGATTTAATGCTCAAATAGTAGGTGCATCAACACAACATCCATTATTGTGTAACACTGAAACAATTTCACCGTCATTTTAACAAATGATTACATGCATGTTATGCAATCTCACTATCCGAATCATGATTTGTAGATGAGGTTGATGTTGTCTCACTGTCTGTGTCACTGTCAAGTTTTTTGTTATTAGAGCAGGTACTGCTCATATAAAAAGCAGTAAGCTTTGGCTGATTATCTTCTTTCTTCCTTGAAGCGGTCCTGTCAGCCTCTAACCTTTCGATGGCTTGTCTTATCTCAATTATAACACAGTCACTGATATATCCTTGCTCTATAAGCTGTTTGAGAGGCTCTAGGTGAAATCTCTTTCTCAGTTTAGTGTGAAGTGCTTCTCTGTTGAGGTTATTACTGTCAATCACAGGAATACTGGCTTTTTGAGTGATATCTATTTCTTCATTCCCAGTCAAAAGTTTACACACCTCTTTAGCCTGCCTTGACAATACTTTCCGCTTCTTGGTCTTGTTCTTTCTTTTTTGTTCTTTCATTCTTCTCTTCCTTCTCACTTCTTCAGCCTTTGTGTAAGTATTTTGGTCATATCTTCTACGTAAGGCAAGAAGTACAGTATTGACATTGTCCAGCATGTGAAAAAGTGTTCCCTTTATTTCTTCTAAGGCTTGAAGCTTTACTTCAACATACCTTACTGTGCTCTTTCCCCCTGGAACTAAATCAAGGGAGGGAAGATAACAATTTTTCCTTTTCTCCAAGGCACCTATAGCTCTTTCACACCGAAAAACATCTTCAGAATTGGTATCATGTGGAATAGATTGTAACCTTTGAATGTTGTACGAATGACCACAATCTGAGTTTGCTGAATTGCTCTTAATTTCATCCAGTTTTGAAGCCAAAGAGTTTATATCACTTTCTATTTCAAATCTCCACCTTCTTTCAGCAATTAAGTAATGTTGGAATCGATCCTTTGAAGAAAAATCTGTAAAACACTCAGTGTATAAAACAGATACAACATCATTATAGTATTTGAGTCGTGCACTGTTAGGGTTTGGAATCAGATAACTTTCAAATGGCTGAACTTCTTTAATTTGATTCGTTTTGTCTACAACCAACATCCCGCTGCCTGAGCTAGCCTTTAAAGTAGCTTGTTTACTGGAATGTGACTTTGTCTCCAAGTTAAAGTTTAATTGTACAGGAACTGACGGCTTGGAAATGACTTTAAGCTTGATTTTTGTCGAGGCAGTAAAATCGTCTGGTAAGTTTATCCATTCTTCCCACTCGTCATCATAATGCTGCAGTATCAGATCGTTTGTAATACTTGTCTCATCTGGGTGTTATGTAAGAAAGAGGGGCCCTTAAATCTTTTAACATGGTTGAAGGGGGGTACCTAAAAAACATGGGTGCTATCGAGTAGGGGTCTAGAAATAATTTGGGATAAAAAACAATTTCTCCTCCACCCCCCAACTTATATTATGACTCGTCCCTAAGATGGTTAACAAACATACTGTCCCACTTTTAAAAATGGTGCAGTAACTGAATGTTCTGTTCTTCTGATTTTACCCCCAATCCCGGAGTGTTCTACGCATGAAAGGCAAAGGCGGTTTTAGGGCATGGGCTACCAATGGATTACTCAGACTTGTCATAAGGTGCACTGAACAGAAAATTGCAGGCATGATATCTCTGCTATTGTATGTCCATTAAGTGATTTTCCAGTAAACATTATTTTTTGACTTTTTTACCCCAAAAGATTTTTCCGTTCAATTCTTATCTATGAGATCCAAACTTAGTTAAATTTCTATAATTTGTTGTTAAATGCAATTCTGCAAACAACTAAGTATTTAATTTTGCGGAAAAGCTACATGAAATTGTACTGTTCAGCCGTAAATCATTGAAAAGAGAAAGCATCATGCTCTCTCTTTTCAAGTCTTGTAGGACTTAAGCAATGGCATTGCTTAAGTCCTAGTAGTTGTCCTCCATGCCTGCTAAGGAGGAAACAGTTTGCTCTTTTCAAGAAATTGTTCTTGCCGTTTGCGGTTTCAATCCAAGGATAGCAGCAAGTCTGTCGTGGTCATATACCGCTACTTCAGTGCAAACGAAGCATAGGCGCACAAGTCAGCGCTTGCGTTTTAGTCAGGTGCCGAAAATGAAGTGAAAACTTAACCCCAAGGGCGTCCATGTTCGCTCCGGCTCGAAAAAGCAGTTGTGCAGTAAAAAGTAATGCGAAAAACCTGCGAGGGCTGGGGAAAGAAAGGCGTCTTATTTTTCTTTGGCTTGTTCTATTTTCTCGACGTGGTACAGGCTACGAAATACTGGCAAGCTCAGTATATGTCTTCACCACCGAGAGTAACTTATCATTGGCCGGATACACCCCTCACGTATCATGTTTCGTTCCTAAAGTTATTTCAAACCACAGCACCAAACCTAATCAGCGGCCGAAGGCAGAAAGGGGGATGAGCAAACGGATGTCACAGCATATTTTGCAAGAAACCGGTATCCTTGTGCCTATCGGCTCTGGAACGATTGATTACTACTAGAATATCAGGGTCAGAATTTGAGTGCTAGAATGGAAGGGAAGGAAGAAAAGGAAACTGCGAACATCTGTTAAGTCTTTTACAAATGTCTCGTCCTGACGGTTTCAAAGAAGGGCGTTGTGGCTGCTATTTCATTTACAGAGTCTGTTGCAGGTGTCGAATTAATCTTACAGCAACTGGAAACGTGGCCACGCCTGCTGAAACTGAGATTGCTTGTAGAATGAACGGCTATAGTATGGTATATTCACGAGGGCGTATTGTCCAGTGAACTGAGTTCGTAGTTTTTTCTTAACGAAGGGATGGGGTAGGTCAAGTGAATAGTTCGGGGAAAGTTTCCTCTCTTTAGGGGGGTGGGTTATATTTGTTGATATCAGGGGTTTTGGCCTGGATAGAGTCGTTGTAAAGCTATTTTTTCTTCGGGGTATCGGTCTACTGCAAGCTGAATAAGGAAAAGTCAATGGTCTAACCATGCGACGATTAGACTTCTGGGAAGGTGGCAACGATCTAGGCCCGCATAATTGAAGGTCATGATGTAGAAAAAGGGAGTCAAATGGTGGATGCCATATGCAATCCTCGCGGGTGGGGGCGGCGTACCTGGCCTTAACGGTTGCCCCTGCGACAGAAGGCAAGCATGCCCAGATTGTCCACGGGTTGCTATGAGACCGTCTCTTTCTTAGCACCCGTTCCCTGTCTTAGGCCCCGGCAAATTTCTCGACATTGCACCATCATGTTGGGCTTAAAGCTTGCAAAGTCCAACAATAATAGCGCATGTTCGCGACGGTTTTTTAAGTCAGTCAAGTTCTTAAACCAGGCCTTAAACCACCAGTTTTATGTGTCGATAACAGTTTAAAAGGATACAAGCCTCATGCAAAAGACAGTGGGAAGAAAGATGCACATCGGTGATGGGGAAATAGATGTAGCCCGTAGTTATTTAGGGGTGGATCTTTCGAAACATTCTTATACTCTTGGACAGATATACATTCTCTAAAGTTTTAGACAAACCAGGTGTAAATTTATAGTAACAAACGGTTAAATATACATCAGCAAAATTTTTGCGAATCCTATCTTTCGCTGGAGACTATCGTTTACTGGCTAGTCATGCAATCAAAGGTAACGTACTTCCCCAGGTTTGTTTACTGACCTTTCGTTCAGTAATACCCTGCGTTCCACAAAGGATCCAAATTACGCTAGAATGTTTTCCTATTCGGCCCCCTTTTTATCTCTGGTATGGCAGTGCAAAGCCGATTCACTTTATAATACGAAGATTCGAGGGAGAATTATTCCTTGATGTTATTCTGATTTCGCAGTCACGGGAAAACGGACCTAGAATGAGGTCCGCTCGCAGACGCCATGCTGCAATCTACGTATACAGGATCTCAAGAACAGAAATTACCCATTGAACGGCCTCTCCTTTTGAAGATTGCATGCATTTCATTAAAACAGGTACATATAAAAAGAATCTTGTTAGTTTCCCCCATTTACCGAGCTCAAATCGACGCGTAAGACTAAGGTGACGTGCACGTGTCAATTGACCCTGGGGTCAATTAGCAGTTGTTTGGGGCAAAATAACCTCAAAATAATCAATCTATTTTACAAGCGTTGGCAAGAACACCAGACTAACTTTCAGATGATGCTGAAGTACTATATCTCATTGGGTAGTAACCGGGATTTGGGGTGATTTGGAGAATTCCCCCTATATAGAAAATTCGATTTTGGTTTTAGCGGTAAATTGTCGTATTTTTAGCATTATGCAAATTACGTTTCAAAATTGTGCTCGTTCGTCGATATTTTATTCTCTAAATCTAAAAAATGTGCCGTTCAAAAATTGTTAGATATCTGTTTTTCGAGATTTAAGTGGAAGATTGCCAATATATGCGCTCGTTTGTGAAAGTTAGCTCAATTCTGTCACTGGGCTATTTTCCCTTGTTCGGCGGCTAATTTTAGGCCCGCAGACCGTTGAAATCGAAAATCTCAAATAATTCCCAAACTCGGCCGCATTTTGAAATTTTAACCTCAGCAGTGTTATAATGTCATTAAAACCTTATTACAGACTGAAAATGAGGGTAGGTTAGGTTTTGAGCTGTGGCCACGAAGTGCCGATTTTGCTCGATTTTTCTGTGCATTCGCTCTTAAAAGCCTTCCCTGTTTTCAATGTTTTTGAAACTGCCGGTTAAATTTATTGAGAACTGATCTCGCAATTGTCAAGTTTATAAAAAAATTTATCGAGTGGTTTTTTGAATAATGCGAAATTTGTACGCATGGACCAAATTACGAGCAGAAGCTGTAACAAAAGCAGCTGAATGCAAGTTGATAAAATTCTTCTTACTCGCGATCACCCAGAGCAATTCGCCTCATTTTTTGTACGCAGTTTTCAGTGGAATCATACCATTATGACATCAAGCCGCGTTCTCAAAGCTTATCATTTTCTTAAAATATCAGCGAATTGTGTGTGGCTAGCATGCTATTTCACTGTTTTTATGATTGTTAAAAAATATTTCCAAAACGCTCTCGCAGAATACCATAATTGAGGCAATTATGGCAGGTACATACTTCCTTAAGGAATTTCTTAAAAAAACTCCTGGTACAGAGAAACACAAAGATAAATAAAAAAACGTAATGGGGTCATTATGCTGCAATGGCGACTCCGATTGCAATAATACCCAGATCATAAGAAATGTTTATCTTTACCTATTGCAGTTGTGATAACCTTTTTTCCATATCTTTACTCATGCCGACGTAGTTAATGCTCAAACTTGGGAGGTATTCCCCCTAAAAAATCCAGTGGAGCCACCGTAAGTAAGGGTAAACTAGACTACAGTACAACGAACGTAAGGAGGTTTTGGGAAGGCAAAAACTTCACTTGTAAATAATGCCCATTGATTTTGATATTTTTAAAGAAACGCTAAGAATATGAGACTTCCATGACAAATGCTCATCGAGGATAACACTTAAAAATACTGTTTCTTTTACACGTTCAATAATATTGTTGTCAATTTGAATAGATATATCAAGTGTTTGCCTCCTTTCTCGTGGCCTAAAAACAATAAGATTCGATTTTTTAAAGTTAATGGACAGTTTAATAGCTTAACACCGTTGTGTTAATTTAAGCATTTCAGAATTTAAGTTTTAAGGAAGTAAATTAAAATCTTTGTGGGAAAAAATATGTTTTTGTCATCAAGTCCACGACCTTTGACACATTGCAAAGATCATTCATATAGAATAGAAATAGCAGGGAGCCTAGTAAAGAACCCTGAGGCACCCCACTCTTCTGAACAGATACCGTTGAATTCCACATATTGTTGTCTATTGCTTACTAGACATTTTTTGAACCATCTAATTGCAGTGCCTCGAACACCTTAATACTCTAATTTTGAAATTAAAATTTTATGATCGACGGTGTCAAAGGCTGTAGACAAGTCTATAAAATTAATTATTTTCAATAGCGGAAGAGATTTTGTCATATAAACAAGCTAGAGCATAAGTAGTGGAGTGATAATTGCGAAAACCATACTGATTATCAGAGAGAATGTTATGATAACTAGTAAGCTGGACAAAACTGTTCTGAATTGACGTTTTATGATACAAAAATAAATCAAGCCAAGGAACCTCAATTGTATTTTTCTCTTTGGAACCCTATTAAATTTCACACATGGAAAAATATTTTCATGTTGATCACGTAAGGAGGACTTGGGTTACAGTGAATCCAAACTTGGTAACGAAATCACAAAGGTATGCAAAAATTAAATCACGTGATTTCTAAGAAAAACGAATCACAAAACGAAGTTTTGTTGTGTTAAGAATATCGTGTTGTGTTTCAGGATGTTTTGAAAAGCATTCGACGGGAAAACGGAAGAATAACTTAAGGACAGTCGACAACTTATTTTTCAACTGGAATACGGCACTTTTGTGGTCTTAAAACTCTTCTTGCCACCAGATCGGCCTTCCATCTGTTTTGAAGATGGCGGCCGGTTGCTGGCGCTTCGTACCTGCCACGAAATACTGCTGTTTAAAGTGTAGTCGGCTAACAACTTCAAACACTGCCATTTAGGCCTCTCAAATAGTTGCTGGAGCATATTTCTCGGCTCTTCTCCTAGGAGCTTGCCATTTTCTCACGTTCTGTTTTCACAACTGAGTAGCTTAAAATAACTCTGTTAGATTTGCCTCGTGGCCCTTCGGTGGCCGACTCGTCCCCAGTCGTCTCTCATTATTAGTATTCAGCGTGGAAGACTAGAACAGGCTCTTTAACAAAGGGGATGACGGGAAGGAAGAAGGGAGAAGGGACAGACGTCGTCTCCTCTTCTCTCGCCTTCCCATCTTCCCCACGCGCATAACCAAGCGCTTCCCTAGTAAATAATTAATGAGTAGAGAGAACTTAGAGACGACTGGGGACGAGTCAGCTTCGGTGGTAGCATTACAACTTGAATCTTCGACTCTCTAAACTGCTGATGTATCAAAGGATTATAGTGCTGCATGCCAGTCACTCGCTCCAAGTTGTTTTCGCTGCAAGATTTACTTGGAGACGATATTCTAACACGACAACACTTCGTTTTCAGTGAAAGATAATTACGTGATTTTTTTTCTTAGAAATGAAGTGATTTTGCGTACCTTTGTGATTTCGCCCTCCAGTCATGTCCAATACTGCCGCACTGTTACGGAGCGTTAAGAGCAGTTGACGGAACGTATGCTACGTACAAACTGTCAGCATTGCTAACAGTCTGTATTCTTAGCACAGACGGAGCGTGCATTTCATTATTATATCAGGGCACAGTGTAACTTTGATGCCGATTTCAGCAAGCGTAGGCAAAGCTGTACAGTTGCCACAGCAACATGGTGATAACATCACCAACAGCTATACTCACGAGAAGGTAATTTGTCGCACTGTGTATTTCTCCTGTCTTATGCACAATTCGTACGACCAAAAGATTTCCGATGAATCCGATGACAAGGAACGGGATTCCCGCGTCAAAAAGGGCTAATGAAAGATTTAAGTTTCGGTCATGTTTCAATCAAGGTGATCAATACGACAAATTAAAAAACAGTTGTACGTTGGCAGACTAATTTTAAATAGCTTAGCTTACTTTGTTGAGGGTAGATCGACTTTTGCACTAAGGCTGGTAATTGTTGCCATACAAGATGATAAGTGATGTTTGCCGTGAAAATTAGCAATATTCTGTGGAGTGGTTAACACAAACGGAGGTTTCTTTTTGCTGAATTGAATTGAAGCGTTTCTGCCTCAGTCTCATTTGAGGAAGTGTATTTTGGGTTTGAAAACTACAGTTATCTGTGGCCGTTCCAAGTCTTTTTTATGAATTAAGTCCAACTTAAATCCAACATTAACAAGTTTCAGATAATTTGTGAGAATAAGTTATTCTATACTCAACAAATAAGTATATTGTAGTGGTCACGCTGTATGTACCGAAATATTTTTTTAGCATATTAAATAACTCCAATCACACTCGTTCTGGGTTAATGCATGGAGACATGCAGTGCTGACCTCATGTGTTGGTACAAGTGACAGTTCCTAATAGGCTGCTTTATAATTTATTTGATGAAAGTTGTCTCTTATATTTAGATCTAGATTCAGTTGAAACTGGCATAGCTCTCGATATGAAAATTATTTCACAGATAACGATCAGAAATAGAAAAAGGGAAATACATTTTTTTCAAAAGGGAAAAAGGAGCACTTGATGCTTTCCGCTGTTCTTCTATTTTGCATTTCTAATAAGTTAGGATCTTTAACTGATATTTGTTATAGATGTTCGCAGATTGAAAAACACGTGGTCGTCTCTACTTTCTCAACAGCGACAGGTGGAAGGGGGTGTGGGGGAGTAATTTGCCACAAAAACGTTCAACAGTCCTTTCTGAACCAAAGTTTGGACTCCTCTCCCACCCCACTTCCCCCCACGCCCCTTCCCCCAATCAAACATTCTTGGACACGCCCCTGGTTACCACAAACAGCTGTTTTATTTCAAAGTGCGACAGAGTTTGCTAAAATTTGCGACGACAGGTATTACAAAGTGCGATGATTATTACACATTGCATAAGTACACATTGGTTACCTTATTTTGTAAATCATACAGCTATTTCGAGAAAGGTTGTTGGAGAAAATGTGCACACGACAATCATGAAAGGTAATATGGGATATGATCAATACACTGTTCCTGACTCTGTAGCTGTCGAACCTACTTTTGTTTCAGTTTCCTTTAGCACTCGCAAACATACATTCATGGTCGCTCCTGCCATTAATTCCAATTTTTGGGAAGAACAGTTGACTTAAAATCTCCCACAATACCTTTCGGGATTGTCGCGCGCACTTTGTCCGACAACCTTTCTCGAATTAGCTGCATTCGAATTCACAAATATCTCACTGCTTAACCAGCAATAGGCACTGAGTGGATATCCACACATTGTATTTCAGATTATACGAAAGGCAGATTCAACAGTATTAAAATGCTAATTAACTGCTAAGGGTTACAAAAGCAACATAAAAAAGTTTTGAAAAAACTTCCTTCAGCTGGTACAGTGCTTCTATATACTTTTAGGAAATAGAAAGTTCAAATCTAACTCTTTTCGTAGGAGAAAGTGCATGTTCTATTCTCTGACAAAAAAATCTGTCTGCCGGCATCTCGCGTTTGTAAAAACGAAATGTCAGTAATTCTACATCGAAGAAATGGTATCTCAGCGATATACTTACAATTCAAAACAGATCACTTTTAGCTTAACGCTGTGCAACTTCATCGTGCCTTTGGGGATTTCTACGTAAAATTACACGTTTGAACCCTTCTTTAAAATTAGTGCTGCGAGAAGCGTAGATAAAAGGGTTGAAACATTAACTTACAGAGAATAAAAAATCAGCCACAGACGTAAGTTGACCATAAAACCTAACGTCTGTCGTTCCATTTCCTGATGGAATGATTACGTATGAAGCTAGAGTTGGTGTATTACCGATGAAAAATCCAATGGTTACTAATATAAACGTTATAACAAGTCTCTTCTTCTCAGATCTCCTTTCTCCGTCTGTGTCTCGACACACCGTGTTGGTAAAGTAAAGTCCCCTTATCAAAGTTCCGTAGCAGTACATTGTGATCGCCAGTTGAAGAAAATATACAACTACATTTAAGATCACGCAAGCTTTGCTACCTTGATTCAGGTATAAAGTCCAGGGACCAATGCATGTCTCATAAGTTTCGCTCCATTCTTTGAAGAAAGTTGCTGGGAGGCATATAAGAACGCTTGAGACCCAAATACAAGCGATCGCCCTCTTAACGTTGTCTTCTCTTAAGCGCAGTCCGGTTCTATAAGGCTTCAATAAGGCGAGATATCTTTCCACCGCTAGTACAATTATAGTAAAGTAGGAAACCATTATACAGAGTTCAACGAGCTCAACTAACTTGCAAACGAATTTGCAAACTTCAAAGAAATACAGCGGCCACAACAAAATGGTAATAATATCACTAGTGGCCATGCTCACCAGAAGATAATTTGTCGGCGTGTGCATCTCCCGTGTTTTGTGAACAATTCGTATTACTAAAACATTTCCGATTAATCCAATGACAAGGAACGGGATGCTCGAGTAGAATAAGGTATATTCCATGTTATAGTTTTCATCCATATTGCATCGCTTTTTTTAAGCATTCTAGCTTTTGTCTTAAGGAGTGTATTTTGGGATTGAAGATTACAGTTATTTTTGTCTCTGCAAACTCTTTTTATGAAAAAATCCAACTTACATCCAACTTCTATATATACTCAACAAATACAATTATTTTAATATCACATTGCATGTGCGGTATTCAACACAACCCTAATACACTCGTTAATAGCAGTGCTGACCGTATTTGTGCGTGCGTGTTACAGCTGTAGTTCCTGATAGCCTACTAATTAATTCGATAAACTGACTTATGGCTTCGATATCCTAAGTCCCTTCAGCTTTCGATATAAAAATTATTTCGAAGATAACAGTAAGAAATACAAAACAAGGAAGGACATTTCACAGAAAACTGCAATTTGAACGCTTACTTAATTAAGACTTAAAATTTCTGATTCGTCACTAGGATGATTGATGCACTTAATATGATAAATTAGAGAATCATCATCAGTTTCAACATTGTCATTCAACTGTCGTCGAGCGCGACTCGCTTTCTCAGCAGAAAGAGCTTGAAAACTAATTGCCAGCTGGTCTTCTCAGTATTTTGCATAACTCCATGATTCGTTAGGATAACTGATATGTGTTTTATGGAAAAAATAATAGGCCGGGGCAAGCGCCATATTGGCCGAGGTAAATTATCAACCTTGAGATTGAGCCACATTGTTTAGTTGGTTTTCACTGTCACGCCATCAAAATTAAAATGGAAACCTTTAAATACAGAAAGTCTAGAATCTGGCATATGAATGAAGATAAATCTGCAAAAAGCCTTGCCAAGAATCAGGTCTGTGCAATATTTCATATGCGAGATATTCGGAAAAACGTTTTACGCAAATTTATAAAGCTTTGTATGGAGACGCCATGTTTGTGTCAATCAAGGGGCACCAATATGGCGCCGGAAACCAACAGAAACATCTGTTTTTGAGTTTTCCCACTAATGCGTGAATTCTTCGCTTGAGGAGCTCATAAAGATTAAAGTAATATTTATTCTGAGGCAAGGAATGTTTAGATAGCAAAATCTCCAAAAATCCGTAAATGTTTTTAGTATATGCTAAAACAGTGGATAGTGTTTTTCGCGCGCTCTGATTGGCTGCTCAATCTCGGAATATCCTGCACTATTCACTGATTCGCCTCCGGCCGAGCGGCGCCAAACTCTTGCAAGTTAGATGTACGACAAAAATGGCTCAGTCTCGGTTTGCCACGGTAACTAGCGACGAAATTTCGAAAATAAATGAAGAGGCCATACCAGACAACACTAAAAAAGCGACTAAATTCGGTCTAGCAGTTTTCACAGGTAAAGCTTTGTCTGTTTAACCTAAATTTTGTCGATGAAACCCGTGAAAAAGTTTTTTGTTTACAAATGCAAATTATGTCTTTCGTTACTTAATGTTAGCTGACATGTTTATAAATAAGCTTACTTTTTTTACAGAATGGTTTCAGATGCAAGAAGAGTTCAAAACTCCCTTTGAGGAGATGTCACCAATTCAGCTTAACAAATGCCTCCAAAAAATTTTACTTGTCCGCACGAAAACGTGACGGCAGTTACTACAACAAAAAGTCGCTTATCGCAATCCGAGCCTCGTTAGATCGTCACTTAAAAAGTCCTCCGTTTTCAAAGCCATTTTCCATTGTTGGCGACAGTCATTTTAATGAAGCCAATAAATCCCTCAGCAATTTTCTGAAAACTCTGAGCAAAAGTGGCCAAATAGCTCCGACAGTGCACAAACAAACCCTAACAAAGGAAATTGTTGAGAAACTTTACGAAGAAGGCGAGCTTGTTGACATCGATTCTCTCCAACCACACAAAGTACAGCAGACGGCCTGGTTCTTCATCAGTTTATTCCTCGGAAAGAGAGGTCGAGAAAACCAGCACCTGCTTAAGAAACACATGCTTATCTCAAGGGAAGCGCCAAATGGTGAAAAATATCTGGAAATAAACAAAGAGCGCGGAGCAGTGTTGGCGACTAAAAACCATCAAGGTGGCCTAGATGATAAAGAAGATGAGTCAAACGGAAAAATATTTGAAAGACCAGGCTCAAAACGCTGCCCAGTGAAACTCATCGAGAAATACCTGTCACATCTGAGTCCCAAATGCAGCAGTTTATTCCAGAAACCAAGAAGCTCGTGCAAAGCGTTTAACCCAGCAACGGATCTTGTGTGGTACTGCTCGAGTCCACTTGGCCACAACACGCTTGAAAATATGCTACGAAGAATGACATCAAGAGCTGGAATAAAGCCACATCTAACAAACCACTCGATCAGAGCGACCACCGTGACGGTTTTGTCAGCTGCAAACATCGAGAGTCGGTACATCAGGGCAATAACCGGCCACCAAAGTGAAGAAAGCATCAAGAGCTATTGTGATACGCCGACATTCGAGCAGTTTAAAAGAATGTCAAACGAGCTAAGTGAATTCTTCGATCCAGCTGGTGGCGATGACAAGGCTGTTACAGTCCCTCAGAAAACCGTTGCGTCGTCATCGAGCCAGCCGCAATCAGTAGCTACGAGCACTGCAAATTATTCTTTCCAGTCCATTCAAGATGGATCACAGAATCTTGTCCATGGCTTCATTCCCGGAGCCACGTTCCATAACTGTAATCTCAACTTTAAGGTGAGCTTTGGAGGAAGCAGCAGCAAATAAAACTTGTAACAGACAACGAAAAGAACAATCTACAAAGATGGCGTAAAGCCAGGACTTTTCCTTTCGCATAGCTTGATCTTTCGTTTACGGTTGTAAAGTCTTAAACACAAAATTATGAACATTTCATCATCAGATGTGTCATGTGACTATTTTGAGCTGCGCGCATGTTTGTTTAATTTGCGCGCCAAAGTTGTAAATAAACGAATTAAAAATCGTCATTTGAGATCATTTTAGGCTTATTATCTCACTGTTTTAGCATATACTAAAACAATTATTCACCTCTGTGTCGGTGGCTAGTATTGGATATTTACCTCGCCGCTTTCGCGGCATCGGTAAATATCCAATACTAGCCACCTCCACTTCGGTGAATAATTGTTATTTAACCTACATAAGAGCATTCCTGGCTAAATGCTGAGTCACACAAAAGCCTGGAAATTCAAGCGTCCAGAACCCTTTTGAACCGAAAATTTGTTTGTATAAAGGTTTTAAGGTGCGATAGTTTCTTAGTCTGAGTTTTGGTTACGTAATGTGAAAACCAAGAATACGCCTGTTTATTCAGCTCCCGCTGCGAAAAGAAATTATTCAGTAAGATCCAAATGATTATCGTTCTTTGAATACACGTCTTGTGTGTAAATGCACCTTGCAAACATCAAGATCAGAATATATCCTTGAAATTATTCCAGAATGAGCACGATTCAGTCAAGGACGCCTGAAAAAAAAGGCCAAAAAACATCGTCGACCCGAAAAATCGGCCCAGCAAAGAAGAGAAAAGAGGGGCAAGAAAAGCGAAAGAAGAGAGGAAGAGAGAAAGCGAAAAGTAAAAGTCAACACTGTTGTGTTGTCACACTATTTTGTAAAAACGGCGAAAACATTTTTTTTTTTCATTATTTATTAAAACAGCTGCGAGAAGCAGTTAGTTATTCAGTCCAGAAGGAATTTTCGTTCTGTGTTGTCGGTTTCCAGCAAAACAGCATTCGTTTAAGGCCTTCTCGGAATTTTTTGCCACGAAATTCATAAATGATCGAAACTGCAAACGAAAAAGAAATCCGCTATGCCTAGAAAGTCTTCGTGTCTGTCACTTCCTGTTACTTGAAATGCCCAAAAATAAATACAACAGATATGGCGTGTTACTCACTAAAAACCCTCTATTAGCCAAGATCAGAGTAATATAGAAAGTTTCCTTTTCTCTGATGTCGTCTCTCTGTCGGTCTGTGGGTACACTATTTTACTTAAGTAAAGTCCTCTAATCACTTTCCATCATTTCTCGTGTCTTATGCAAAATTTGTACCACCAAAAGAAGATTTCCGATCAATCCGATGACAAGTAACGGGATTCCCGCTTAAAGAGGGCTAATGGAAGATTAACGGTTTCGGTCATGCTTCAATCTAGTTGATCAATAAGACAAAGTTGGCAGACAAACTTTAAATAGCTTAGCTTACTTAATGCTTCGTGTTTGTTGAGGGTAGATCACTGATCGACTTTTGCATTAACTAAGGCTGGTAATTGTTGCCATACCAGATGATATGTGAAGTTTGTCGTGAAAATTAGCTATAGTTCTGTGGAGCGGTTAACACAACCAGCGGTTTCTTAGGCAAGGTTAAAAAAATATCGAGCACTCGATTAAAGATGCAGATAGGTAGTAACCCGCCAATTGAAAATTCCAATGTTTTTAGTCTGGAGGCAGACGCTACCAAAAGCCGGGTAAGAAAAAGTTTGACATTGGATTGTGGTGAAAATAATTGTGTGAAAGAATAATTGGTATTTGGTGGTAAACGTTTTAAGTTAAGGGGAGGGTTTCTTATTTTGGGCCCAAATACCACCGGGTACCCATGTCTGATTTCTCTGGAAAATGTTTACAGTATCTCCTTAGAAATACCAAGGACCCTTGAAATCATGCAAAAAATCACAATTTTTTGTGTTATTTTTGAATTTAGGCAAGTTTGGCACTCTCAGATACAATTTATAGATTAAGTCAAGCCCAAAAGCGAGGCTCCCGTTTATTTGCTTATAATAAAAACAATAATCATTTAAACAGTATCTTCAGTATAATATTAGGAGCCCTGTATTCACCTTTTGAGGGAGGAGTTGATTAATTGAAGGAAAAAAATATATAGATATCCCGCTAATGGACCGAAAATGTAAATCTCTTCTATTGAGCTATGAAAAAATACCTTTGAATCAAGTTTGATTACACTGGTAGGCTGAAATCATTGGATCCAAACAACATCCCCGAAAACCCCACACCACCCTCTGCGTGTGTATCTCCCGTTTTTTGTGAACAATTCGTATTACCAACACATTTCCGATTAATCCAATGACAAGGAACGGGATGCTTGAATGGAATAAGGTATCTTCTAGGTTATAGTTTTCATCGTCCATATTTCTCGCCTAGTATTAAAACATTCCAGCCTTAGTCTTATTAAATTGATGAAGTATATTTTGGGTTTGAAAACTGCAGTTATTTGTGGCTGTACAAAGTCTTTTTTTCTAAAGAAAATCTAACTTAAATCCAATTTTAACTAGTTTCAGATAATTTATGAGGATAAATTATTCTATACTCAGCAAATCAGTACCATGTTGCAGTCATCAGCACTGCATGCACCAGAAGGTTTTTTTTTTTTTTGACGGTTCCTAATAGGCTACTTTATAATTTCTTTGATGAAAGTTTTGACTCTCATATCCAGATCTAGATTCGGTTTAAATGGCATAGCTCTCGATTTGAAAATTATTTCAAAGATAATAGTCAGAAATACGAGAAAGGAAATACATTTTATAGAAAAGAGAAAAAAGCACTTGCTGCTTTTCCGTTGTTGTTCTATTTTGCATTTTTGATAAGTTAGGATAATTGATATGTGTCACCATGATACACCTTACCGCTGTCGAGATCGATGTCACATTATTAAATGTTAGGCGCCTTTTCGAGTTCCTGCTGCGAAAACAAATTATAATTGATATGCGTCATCATGATACACCTTACCGCTGTCGAGATCGATGTCACATTATTAAATGTTAGGCGCCTTTTCGAGTTCCTGCTGCGAAAACAAATTATTCTTAGATACAAAGAATTGTTTTTCTTAGAATGTGATTTTTTTTCCGTCGTAAATGCTCCACTCGATTACAAAAAAATAGACATTTCCACGGGGCGAAAACACAGAAATCCGTAAACTTAAACATGGCGGAAACACGCGACTCCGTTGCGGAAACACGGCGGCTACCTTTTGTTTCCGTTAGCGGATACATTTATTTACGGTTTTTCATGTTTCCGTCGCAACGTTCACAACCGAACCGGAGAACTTTTTAACATGTTTCTGACAGATGTCCGTTTCAGGAATCACGTATTTCCGCAATCGTCATCGTGTCTTTAAGTTGCGGAAACGTGGAATTCCGTACCGGAAACCTGTTTTTTTGTTCCCTCTTCTAGCAGAAACGTAAAGATACGGTCCAGCAACCTGTCTGTTTGTTTTTTTTTGTTTTGTTTTGTTTTGTTTTGTTTTGGTTTTTTTCCCATGTTTCCGTCCGTCTCCGTTGCCGTTAATGCGTAAATACGTCCAAAAGTTTCACATTTGCGGCAACCAAGTTTTTCAGTTGGAATTTCTCTTAATTCTTTCCTAAAATTATCCTTTGAGTATTTTTCCCGGTCAATTTACATGCAATGAAGACTTATACATTTTAGTAAAATCCAACTAGTGGTCTATTATCAATGCTGCGTTCTAATTGGTTGAGCTACTGCTAGGCTATATGTTATAGCCCACTAGTAGCGAAAAGCGCCGGCTTTGAAAAACAAAATTGTTTTGTCTCGATATTTATATTCAGAGCCCATTCCGGGTCGAGGAACAATTGTTAAATACACTTCAGACAAATATATAATAGCGTAAAAATCCATCTTTTTTTGCATTTATTTCCATTTCCTCTACGTAGACTCGTATCAAGCAATGCTCATGATTTATGGTCCTATCTCATACGAAGAAGTTGCAAAGCGAACATAATTGTAGCGTGTTTAGAGAGTATAAAATAGGTGCAAAGATTCAAATGCAATTAAGACATTAAAAAAAATGTATGGCTAAATTTTCAAGTCCTTTAGTTTTTACATGTTCTTTTGGCTTGGTTCAGTTTAATGTGTATTTGCCTACGCTGTTCTAAACCTTTTTGTCGGCAATTTCGACCCTCGCGGGCTACGATTGTCTCCCATAACTGGTAATGTTCTTGGTCACCCGCTAAATGTTTTAAGCCGAAATCAAGACATCTGCCTGCATCGCAGTTTGTTATAGGGAAATAGCGGTAATTCCAAAACGACGAAATGGTACCCCAGTGGTCAAAAACCGATACAGTATACACTGTATAACCTTTGTTTAACTAAGCTGAGCAACTTCATCGTGCCTTTGGGGATTTCTACATAAAATTACTTGTTTGAACCCTTCTTTAAAGTTAGTGCTGTGAAAAGCGTAGATAAAAGGGTTGAAACATAAACTTACAATGAATACAAAATCCACCACAGCCGTAAGTTGACTGTAAAAACTAACATCTATCTCTTCATCTCCTGATGGAATGATCACGTATGAAACTAGGGTTGGTGTATAACCTATAAAAAATCCAATAGTTACTAACACGAACGTGATAGCAAGTTTCTTCTTCTCAGAACTCCTTTCTCCACCTGTGTCTGGACAGACTGTGTTGGCGAAGTAAAGTCCCCTTATCAAGGAACCATAGCAGTATACTATGATCGCTAGTTGAATAAAAGATATAACTACATCTAAAATCACACAAGCTTTGCTACCTCGATTCAAGTATAAAGTCCATGGACCAATACATGTCTCATAAGTTTCGCTCCATTCTTTGAAAAAGGTCGCTGGGAGGCATAAAAGAAAACTTGCAATCCAAATGCAAGCGATTGCCTTCTTGACGTTGTCTTCTCTTAAGCACAGTCCATTTCTTAACGGCTTCAATATGGCGTGATATCTCTCGACCGCTAGAACAGTCATAGTAAAAGAGGAAACTAGTAT